TCAAGGGTTCCTTGTTTTCTTAAGGGCAGGTCATAATGATATTCAAGCATTGTCCTCGAAATGGCACAAGAACCTGTCATCTGTGTAACTTTCATGGATATCTTGAATCTCTACATCTTGTGCAAAATTTCACATTTTGCTGTGTTACAATTTGTATCAGTGACATACCACAGCCTAAACTGGGCACCGCTGTGCTGTTCTTCAATGGCACCATGCACACCCCTGGTTCCCAGTCTTCATGTGTACTCTTCCTTGGCTAGGAATATTCCCAGCTATTTATGGCTCACTCTGGTCAGAGCTTTCTTCTTGTTGCCGTGCACTGAGCCATGCTTGATATTAATAATATGTGTTTGACTGTTGGTATTTGAGGGGCACTGGTTTTAGGATCTCCACACTTACCAAGTCCCCTATAAAAATTGGTGTAGTATTTTCATATAACTTAGAACTTTCTACCACAGACTTCAATCATCTCTAGATAAGTTATAATACCTAATGACAAGAAAACAAATCTGCATGTTCAGTACTCGCACAATTAATAAAATAACATTTTCAGTGCATGATTGGTTGACTTTGTAGCCATGGATATGGAGGGCAGGCTTTATTTCTTTATTGCCTGTATCTCTGAGGGTCTTGTCAACTTCTTGTTGTCTCCTCAGCACCTAGAGCAGTAGTGAAAGTACTCTGTAGATACTTAGTAACTGTTCAGTAAAGGACCTGTTAAATGGGGAGGAATTGGAGAGAGCTCAGTCTCTTAGAAGGTATATTATTAGTCCGCTTGGGCTACTATAACAAAATACCACAGATGGAGGCTAGAAGTCCTAGATTGACACCAAGAGATACAGGTATCCCAGGAAGTGGACATTTATTGATCTTTTTTTTTTATAGCTTCAGAAGAGGAGCCCCCCCAAGGCATGAGGGCCGTGCTCCCCCCAGAGGAAGGGACGGCTTTCCTGGTCCTGAAGACTTTGGCCCAGAGGAGAGTTTTGATGCTTCTGATGAAGCAGCCCGAGGTCGAGATCTCAGAGGTCGAGGTCGGGGCACCCCAAGAGGTGAGCAGCGCTGAGGATACCAGGTCCGGGGGGACAGGTGGCTGTGAGCACAGTCGAGCAGTCTGTGAGTCAGTGTTGTTCGCTCTGCTGTGCAGGAGGAAGGAAGGGTTTACTTCCCACTCCTGATGAGTTCCCTCGCTTCGAAGGAGGGCGGAAGCCAGACTCCTGGGATGGAAACCGTGAGCCAGGTAAGGAAGGAGAAGCGCACTTGTTGTCAGGGGCAGGGTGACAGCAGAGTAGCATTCACCAAGTAGAGTCACAGGAGCCCGAAGGACCTGTCTTTTCCAACTTGTATTTCCACAGAAGTTGGGTTGTCTTTCTGTCTTTTTGCCATAGCATCTGACCTCAGTAGATGAAATACAGAATACAGAATCTTTTTCTCTTAAGCCAGATAGGAAAAGGTTTTCTTCTAAGTAAGATAATATCACTCTTTTCACTGAATTGTGTTGTTTTTGTTTTTTGGTACCGGGGATTGAATTCAGGTCCTTCTGCTTTTGAGGCAGGTGGCGGAACCACTGTGCTAAATCCTGGCCCCTGAATTGTCTTGTTTTTAGAAAATAATTAAAATTTTATTTGTCTGAATTGCTAATACCATAATATTAGTAGATGTAAATTTCATCAATGGAATCTCTTTGGGGTCTTCAGTAATTTTTCAGACTTTAAGGATGCCTGAGAACTACTTCTCTGGGCTAAACTTGCCTCCTCTTACTCTAGGAGGTATGTTCATTTCTAATCTTGGCCTTTCTTAGCCTCCACAGTATGATTTACATCTGTCTGGCCTGTTGAGCAGATGTTTTCTGCTTGAATGAATGGTGGTTCTCAAATTGCTCCATCTTCTCAGTGGTATCATTTCCATCTGCTTTTGGTTGCTTTGAACTTTGCTGTACTGACATTATCAGATTATTTACCTCATGGATCTGGGGCTCTTATTTCAGGGCCAGGTCATGAACATTTCCGCGATGCTCCTCGCCCTGATCATCCCCCTCATGATGGTCATTCCCCAGCCAGCAGAGAGCGCTCTTCTTCTCTCCAGGGCATGGACATGGCATCTCTACCACCTCGAAAGCGCCCCTGGCATGATGGGCCAGGCACTTCTGAGCACAGAGAGATGGAGGCCCCTGGGGGCCCTTCCGAGGATCGAGGAAGCAAAGGTACGAGCAGGCCAGTGGCCACAGGAGGTGCAAGAGCTCCAGGAAGCCTCGCCTGTGTCTGTTGCATGTGCCCATTAGGGAACCTGTGGCCTGTTCTCTGTCCTCCCCTCCAGGACGTAGGCTGTGCACACTCAGTATGCTTCTGAGTGTGGTGTGAATGTGCTTTGTTTGGATCCACACCCCAGGTGGATGGAGCTAGCATGAAGTGACTGCAAGCTCAGCCCTACAGTCTCCAGCTGCTTCAGGAATCTCAGGGTTTCTACTCCAGCTTTTTGCAGAGGAGACATAGCCCTCTGCCAGGCTTGCTCTCTGGAGATTTCTGATCTGATTGGTAGTTGTGCCCTCCACTAATGGCACTCAGAGCCCTTGAAGGTGTCCTCAATGGAGGATAAGCATTGTCCTCAGCCAGTGTTGCTTTTTTCATCCTGGGCTGAAGGAACATTGCTTTGCTGAAAGTCACAACCCTTTGGGGAACATAGTCTGCCAGGGGTGTTTCCTGGGGAAATAGTAGATTACCTGTACAACTTGAAGCTCTTGATCTTTATTTTATTAAAGGTGGCACTGACTTTCAGCTAGTAGGTGTAGCAGCCACTGAATGTGGTCTTCAAATCTGCCCTTATGTTGGCTGGGCAGCAGCATGTGCTATGGCCTAGGACTCCTACAAAGGCATCTCCTGTATGTCTCAACGTGCATTCTGCTCCTGCGTTTACTTCCCCCATGTTTGCAGTCCCTCCCTTGCCCACTGCTGCTTTTTGGTTCTTCTCAGAGCAAAACTCTCAGAAACTACTCATGAATCCCCAGATTAGACCAGGAATTATTGACAATCTGATACAAGTCTGTTATGAAATGTTTTATTTCAGGCCGAGGGGGCCCAGGACCATCCCAGAGAGTGCCAAAAGCTGGCCGTTCCAGCTCCTTGGATGGAGAACACCACGATGGATACCACAGAGATGAACCTTTTGGGGGCCCTCCAGGCAGTGGCACCACTTCTCGAGGGGGCCGGAGTGGCAGTAACTGGGGTAGAGGGAGTAACATGAACTCTGGTCCCCCAAGGCGAGGCACTTCAAGGGGTGGTGGACGCGGTCGGTAGAAGTGGGGCCGAGTACCTTTTAGCCTCTCTGGACAGTATTTAAGAACTTCTTGTGGACTTTCCAAGCAAACACAAGGAAGTGTGCACCACTGTAGCTCTAAAATCCTCTGGGGCAGCTGCATCCCAGGAGCCCCAAAGGATGTCTTCAAGATGAAGAGACTGCCGCCAGCTGCCCTGAGTAGCTGGCCTCGTTTTGTCCTGTCTATCCTCCTTGCCCAACTCCTGTGTTGTTTTGTGAAGATACAAGCTGGAATCTTTTTTTTAAAGTATCCTGAAACATGGAGCGCCTCCCTAAGTTCATGTCCAGTTGGAAATTTGTTTCTATATGTACAGTTTGTCAGAGAAAAAACATTAAGTTGTTTTTGTATGAATACAGAATGTGATTTATGCAAGAATTAACAGAAACTATCTAGTCCTGAAGTGCTTGCCTTAAGAAAACCCTTGGTTTCCAATGCATCCAATCTGCTGAGGGTGTGTGCAAGTGTTGGTGACTCTCATGAGAAGACTCAATGGGAACCACTAAATCATGTCCACTTAGGTTACTCAAAAACTGTTTCAACAAGATTCACATAGCCATTCAGTCACACTGTTTGTTATACAGTGAAGAATATGTCAAAACTATTGGAATGGAGTTTGAAATAGTATCAGAGCTTCAGACGAACTCTGGCAGTCAACAAAATTATACTCTGGAGAGAAATTTTTTTGGTTGTCCAACTAGGGCCTCTCTTAGAGACAACTCTTTAGATATGAACTGTCTTGTTTTGATAAGGAGAGGAAATTGGTGTAAGCCTGAAATTAACTACACATACCCTTTTGATAACTAAGTCATTCCACACACCAGGTTGAAAAGGAGTGAACCAAAACATCTTTGTGAAACATCTCTCCCTCTTTCCTAAAATACCAGTGTTTAAAGAAGATAGTTCTAACTTAGTAAGCCAAAAAGTTTTTTCATGGCAAATTCCTTGTTTTAAATAAATGTAACGTTTGGTTCATTTTTGACTGACAAAGTTAAAAACTGTTTGAGACACCCCTTTCTATGTTGACCCTTATTTTGTTTTTATAAGAAAGCTTTTATTATTAAAAGGGCAGTGCTGAAGCCACTGAGCATTTCATTACAACACCAGCTTGAGTTTGGCACTAGAGCAGGTTTATTTGGCAAGTTTAGTGGTGCTAAAGTCTTGGTGATTGCTTAGAAAAGGGATATTGGCGTAGTTGTCTAGTGTACAGAAACCTCTTACATGGTATTACTAGGAAACATGATAAAGCTTTTATTTTTGTGGAGTGAGAAATATTCAGCCAACCACACTGGTCTTGTTAGAACCTAAAGATTCCAACTAAAGTTATATTTTACTTTGAAATTTAAAAGCCATCTATGAACACCCTATCATAAACCCTATTAGGATCAAAATTGCTTTTGACTTGTGGATATTCTTTCCTTGTCCTCCACTGGTATAATTAAAAAGAAATTACAATCAAATTCCAAGAAACTAAAAAAGGAGCTAGAGAAGAAACCCTTATAGAGATATTAAGTTACTTTCCTTCATGTGGAAAATGTATTAACATTTTTTTTTTTTGGTACCCAGGATCGAATTTGGGACCTTGCACTTGGCAAGACAGGCAGCAGCACCACTGAGCTAAATGCCAGCCCCAACATTTTAGACTTTTAAAAACACAGTACCTCAGAAAGCAGACAATCAGATCACATTTTAAGAATTCATTTACAGAAAATAAAAATATATTTATTAAATACTTAGAATATATATGGCATTTAAAAACATCACTGACAAAATACATGTGCTTTGAATATTATAAAAACTTTTTTTTACAACCTATAAAAACTAGATTTTCAAACAATGAATTGAGAAAATTCTGGAAAATGAACTTTTGAAATCTTGAGTTAAATAGAATAGCTTCAACACAGAAATTGTGTTAAACATTTAAAAATCTGTAGCCATTTAAATTCTAGAGAAATTTAGAACTACAACAGAAATTTGAGTAGGGGACCAGAATGAGCAGCAATGGATGACAGTAATCCCTCCCTGAACACTTGTGTTTATCCTTCTGAGGTAGGGGATCCACCGAGTGATGTGGGTGTTGACCACTTCAGGGTCACATCCTGGGGCAGGGCTTCGGGCACTGAACAAGTCTTAGGAATATTACGTGCACTTCGGGGCTGAGGAAGAAGCTGTACTCTCTTGCTTGCCTGTTAGGGCAACACTGGAATTCAGTTGGGGGAAACAATTACATTCCAACTGCAAAAGCCAGTGCCAAAGTGGTTCTCAACCTTGGCTGGACATGGAATCATCCGAGGAGCTTTAAAAACATTCGGAAGCCTGGTCCCACCCCTAGAGATTCTGATGAAATCTGAGGTGTGGCTCTTCAAGTAATTCTGTTCTCAAGTATGAGAACCACTGGCATAGAATCTTAATTCCTAAATACATTTTACTTTCTAGTACTAGTTACTGACGACACATGAAGTTTTTCTGTACTCATCAGAATACCGCACTTTTATCTTTTGGCAATAAATTAAGGTTGGAAAGAATAAAATGAAGGAAATACAGCAATTATATATAAAAAGTATACAAATAACTGCATTAAAAACAGGTATTAGGAATGCTGAGACACTGCAGAAATTCATCAATTTCCATCAAATACAGGAATTCTGGCAGAGTTATCTCTACCTTGGTTCTGCAGCTCCCTCTCCAAGCGTTTACATGTATCTTACTGAACCCTAGGCTTCCTCGGCAGCAAATTTCTCTTTCGGTCCACTATTTTCCTTGTCCAATACAGGACTAATTTTCCATGTAAGTCACCATATTTCTCTAACTGAAGAAAAAACCGAGGTAATCCGTCGTTTTAAAAATCCAGTAGCTAAACTAGTGTTTTGACTTTCTTCTAGATTCATTTACATTTAAGAGTAAGAGAAAATAATTACCAAATCTTAATAGCCAAACCACAAATGTAGTTTAGCTACATCTACCCCTGGATATTTTAAAAAATAACAAAAAGCCTGAGAAGAATCACGAAAGGAGCTAATTCAAAGTCGAGCCATTCCTTTTTACTCAGCTCAATCTAAAACCACAGTGCTTAAGCAATTTCAAGTACAGGTTTCAGAAATGCTGTCAACAATGCAACTACCAAATTTGATCACTGCTTCCCAGGTACAGCACGCAACGCTGAGATCAAGGAGCTGCCGAAACTGCTGGTGTCTCTATTCATAACAGCTACTCAAAGCTTTGACTCGCCCGCACAGTCCAGGGGTGTTGCCGGGGAGTGTCACCGCGGGCGCCGGTCCGAGGCTGGCGTCGCGTCCTTGCCCGAGGGCGCCGAGTCCTGAGGCTCACACAGGGAGAGCGCTGGCGAGGCCGGTGTCACGGCCCACGCGGCCGAGCGCGAGGCGCAGGGCGGTGGCGCCGCCCCAGGGCAGCAGGCCCGCTAGCACGGCGAGTAGCGCGCCCACCTGCGCGCAGGCGCCCAACACGGTAAGAGCCGTGCTGCGCACAGCCAGCGCCGCATACAGCGTGGCACCTAGGGAGGCCAGGTAGAGGAGCGCGGGCCGTGACGGCGTTTCCTCGCAGCGCAGCAGGCGTCCACACGCCGCGCCGCCCCTCAGCAGCGCACCGCCCGCCAGCGCCAGCGCCGAGCCCAACGACCAGAGCAGCCCAAACTTGCGAGCACGAAGCAGCAACACGGGCGCGTACAGCGCAGCTAGGCCGAAGCAGAACGCGGCTAGCAGCAGGCACCCGCCGCCTGCCGCCAGCTGCTGCCCGCGTGTCACGTTCGGTACACAGGCCGGGCCCGCCTCCGCCGGTTCTGGGGGGCTCTGCGCCCAGGTCCACCGCAGGCCTGCGCGGCCCTGCCACGCCCCTGCTGGGCCGCTCCTGCTCGCGGCCTCCTCTGCTGTCTCCGCGGCGAACATCGGCTCCGTGTCCACTGGCCTGCTCCCCTTCCCCTGCGCCAGGTAGTCCTGCAGTTGGCGGTGGAGGTCCGCCATCTTGGATAGGGCGGTGGCGGAAGGCTGCGCTTCCCATCACTTCCGGCTCTTTCGGCCGCGGGTGGAAGCACTTCTGCTCTTGGTTGATCGTTGGTCGGCCGAAGCGGAAAGACTGGGGCCTTTGACCTCCGCTGTTTGCACTGCCTCTCTGCACAATGGAAACTAGTCGTCTTGTCATACTGAACCTGTTTTTTGTTTTGGGTTTTAGCCAGTGGATAAATTCTGTGTCGCGTCAAAAGTTAGTTTCGGTGCTGGGGATTTAGCTCAGTGGTTCCGCCGCCTGCAAGTCCAAAGTCCCGAGTTCGAACCCCGGTACCAAAAAAAAAAACTTAGTTTGGGGTGTCTGTGGCCCTTAAAGGGCCCACGAAGTATGGAAATGTGTCGTGACTCAGTGTCCGTCGTGGCTCTGATTAGGTTTGCAAGATGGAAGAATCTGGGTAAAGGCCTATGGATCTTTTTTTGTTATTTTTTATAGCTGTGCACAAATCTACACTTAACATTAATTTTGAAAAAACATTCAGAGCTTAGGTAGTTTTCTTGGGAAGACTACAGAGAAAGGAAAGGTTAAACCGTCCCGGCCAACCTGCTTTGCTTATTCAGCCAGAGGCCTGGCAATAGCTTTGACTCCTTCACACCCCAAGTCCAAGACGTGGCCCTGTGTCTGTCATGTGTTTGCTTTGCCTCCCAGTGCCCCAACACGTGCGACTGTCATGGTATCAGTAGCACTCGCCAGCATTCCAGTCAATTCCAGTCTGTTCAGAGGCGACTCTTGTATACCCTGTTCTTTGTCGGCTTTCTGGAAGATTACTCAGGTCTCATCTTTCCAGGTCTGCTTTTCTATTTCTACTAAAAATACCTTTCAACTCAGGTGTACTTTTTCAATGTTTGACTTTTCACAACTTGTGATCTGCTTCTTGAGAATAGGGTCTTTTTCATTGCTCTTTGCCAAGGACCTGACTACAAGGATACAGCAACAAACGCAGGTGGAATGAATCGGCGCGGCTGTCAATTTCAGTGCAGTAAATATACATGAAAGGCTTTCTTTGTAGGTGCTTCCTGAAGCCCTTGAAAACCCCAACCTAATTTTCTAGGTGTTGTAAGTGAATTTAAGATGCGTGGTCCTTGTGTAAAGAAAGTAGTGGCGCACACCTTTAGTCCCAGCACTCGGGAGGCCGAGGAAGGAGGATCACCACATGTTTGAGGCCAGCCTGGACTACATAGTGAGACCCTTTCTCCAAAAAAAAAAAAAAAATCACAATACGGGTAAATTTTACAGCAGTTTTCTTTCGCTCCCAATATCCATTCCTTCCTTTCTCTCCCTGTACTGGAGGTGTAGGGCAATGCTGACTTCCATAGGCTGTATTTCTGTGTTATTTGACTTGTAATTAGATTTCAACACTGAGGCTGGTGGAAGAAGCCAGGGTATTTTCCCTGTCTGCACAGCTCCTCTTACTACTTTGGCTTCCCCTGGCAACCCTGGAATGGGCTGCGAACCCTTCCTTGTCCTTTAAGTAGATGTGGTGTTAATTGACTTCAGTTGTTTGGCTTTTTAGCCTTTCCATTACCTGTGTAACTAGTTTTGCCTATAAATGCCTATTTTCCTGACATCTTTTTTTTTTTTTTCAAAATACATCCTAATTTGTGTGTGTGTGTGTGTGTGTGTGTGTGTTTTGGTACCGGGAATCGAACTCGGGACCTTGCGCTTGCGAGGCAGGCGCTGGAACCACTGAGCTAAATCCCTGGCCCACATCCTAATTTTTTATCTCAGTCATGACCATCCTTAATAAGAGCTAAACCATTAGATCCCCGGCACCAAAAAAAAAAAAAAAAAAAGAGCTAAACCATTAGGATTGATGTGGAAAGTGCTGCCAAACATAACTTGGAGTGAATAATTACTGTAGCACATCTGTCCACGAACTGTAAGCCAGCTTAAAGTTAACAATATAGTAGAAAGATGTTTTTGTGCTTTGTATGGGCTACCGCTGTGGCCCTGTCTGGGTCAGCTTGTCTCTGTTTAAAAACACTGGCTGGGCCCTCTCCTCTTGTGGGGCTCCCGGAAAGATTAGAAACCAACCTTGAAATTGTTTATGTAAGCCTCGGACCTTGAAGCTATAGAAAGACCCTAGCTGTTTTGCCACGCAGCTGTGTAACTGCTACTTGAACGTCTTACTCTAAAAAGGTATATAAAGGAGAAATTTTCTTAACTCGTGGTCAGTCTATAAGGACTCGTTTCCTGGGACTGGCCATTGCCTGGCAATAAACTTCTTTCTTATTTTACCCAATTCTCCTGGTCTCTGTAAGATCATTTCGACTCCCAGATTTGCCACAACAGGCAGGCTACTATAAAAAAACAAAACAAAAAGCTGTTTTTTGAAAAAAACAAAAGCTGACAAGGATGTGGAAAAATTAGACTCCTTGGGCGTTGTTGGTCGGACTATAAAGTGATATACCACTGTAGAAAATAGTATGACACTCAAAAAATTAAAAAATTCTCCCATTGATCAAGCAATGACATTTTGCAAGTATAGTCAATGAATTGAACGCAGAGAACTGGACATGGTGGTGCACCCCTGTAATTCCAGTACTCTGTGAGGCTGAGGCAGAAGGATCACAAGTTTGAACCTCCCTGAGCAACTTAGTGACTGAAATGACCCTGTCCCAAAATTTAAAAAAATAAAAAAATAGAAAAGGACTGGGAACATATTAGGAAGGCCCTGGGTTCAGTCCCTAGTACTGAAAAGAAAATTGGAAACAGGGTACCAAAGAGATTTTTGTACACTCATGTTCTTAGCCACATTGTTCACAATAGCCCAAGGGTAGAAGCAACTCAAGTGTCCATCAACAGGTGGTATATCAATAAAATGGGAGATTATCAGCCCTAAAAAAGAGGAAATCCCAAGCCAGGGCACAGTGGCGTATGCCTGTAATCCCAGCACTTGAAAGGCTGAGGCAGGAGAATCCCTGCAAGTTAGAGGAATCTTGGAACTAGACCTCCAACCCTATCGCCCCTCTTCACTAAACATAAAGGGCTGGGGGTTTATCTCAGTGGTAAAGTGCGCCTGGGTTTAATTCCCAGTACTGCCAATATTTTTTTCCCCTCTGTCTGAAATTGTACTGTGGTAGGGCATGGCTTTGCTCCATGCAGCAGGTCATGTGGCTACCAACAGCTTTGGAGTTTTAGATATCACTATGTCAGCAGTGGACAGGGCCTGACCTCAGCTCTTGGAGGTGCCAAATCCACAAATCCCGGATGCCTGCATCCCTCTCCACACTACAATTGGATCATAGCACAATATTGGGTGAGTCCCAACTCCTGTCTTCCCCAGGGAAAGGTCTAGAGCAGTGGTGGCAAACCTATGGCACATGTGCTGCAGCGGGTACACAGTCATCTCGGTACACGAGCCAAGTTGCCATGTTGTTTTTTCTAAACGAAAGCCTCAGTATTAAGGTTTAATTGCAGGGTTGGCACTTGGTGATAAATAAGTAGGTTTTGGGTTGTAGTTTGGGAGCTCATTTCTAAAAGGTTCTCCATCACTGGTCTAGAGCAAGCCTTTTATTAAGGAGTTTCAACCTGATTTAGGGAAGTGGTAGCAAACCCCTCAGATCTCTCCACCCCTGCCAGATTATGTTTTCTCAGAGCCAGTCAGTCCCAAGTGTTACCCATATTTCCTCTAAGATGTTTCCAAAGTGGCATCTCTTTCTTCCCTCTCTACCGTGGCCATCTGTTTTAGTCTGTTTTCTGCTGCTACAGCAGAGTACCACAGACTTCATAATTTTAAACAAGAGAAGCATAGCTTTGCGCAGTGGCAGTATCATAGCCAATGAGGTTTATCCGAGGCGCGAGTATTGCTAATTAAACAAGAGAAGCATATTTGGATCATAGTCCTGGAGAATGAGAAGTCCAGTATGCTGTAATTTTTATGGTTTAGATCTAAAATGTCCCCCCAAACTCATGTGTTCAGAGATGGTGCTTTTGGAAGGTGATTGGCTCATGAGAGTGCTATACTCAGTGTTATATCCACTAGTGAGTTCAGCATCTGAGTGTGCTATGAGGAGGCAGCACCTAGTTAGAGGCGGGTCACTCAGGGAATGACCTGGGAGGGTTTATCTTCCCTCCTGGCTCTTCCCTTCTTTGTGCTTCCTAGCTGCCAAGATATGAGCAGCTTCTCTCCCCAAGCTCTTTTGCCATGCCATTTTTCCCTTGGAGATGGCTGAGACCTCTGAAACTATGATCCAAAAATATACCTTTCCTTAAATTGTAGGTGTTGGATATTTTTTTCTTAGTGATGAGAAAGTGACTAAGACAATAGTTTGGATCTTGTTTCCCAGGGGCCCATGTATGAAAGGTTTGGTCTTTACTATGGCATTATTGGGAACTCTTTAGGTCATTGAGGTATGTCTTTGTGTTAGCTTTCTGATTTTTTAATATTTAAACGACCTTTATGTATCACACACTGTAAACTCATAATAAGTATTTATAATGCATCACTGTCACGTATGAGGAAATGAAACTGTAGTACATTGATCCCCTGTTATGGCTTTGTCAAACTTTCCCCTCAAAGCCTCATATGCTCATACGTGGAGCTTTTGGGAGGCTGCTGGATCATAGGTGTTTGATACTGGCATTAAAGTTGTGTGATAACTAAATTAGTCCACTGATTGGTTTAGCATAATTTTAGGTGTAGATAATGGGAAGGCCCACCCTGGGTGTGGGTGGCACCACTCAAAGGGCTTGTAGCCTGGATGAGGTAAAAGGGAAAGGGAGGCTGCTACTTTGGCTGTCTGCTCTTCCATGGACTGTTTCTCCTCCGCAATGCCCCTCTCCCATGCTCCTGCCTTGGAGCCTGCCAGCTATGGACTGAAACCTCTACAAGCTGAGCTGAAATAAATCTTTCCTCTTTTAATTTTGGGTGTCAGGTGTTTTGTCTCAGCAATGAGAAAGGTAACTAAGACACCACTGTACCAAGCAAAGCCTTCCCTGCCTAGGTTGGTTTAATGTTTCAGTGAGATTTCAGCCAAACAGTTGTTCAAGCAAATACTAAGG